CACATAGAGAATACAATAATGCATGTTACATGAGGTATAGTTTAGTAATTTCAATCTGAACACAACCTAAACGTGTAGAAGGTATATGAAAATATCAGTTTTAGTCTATCCTTTTTATCTTAAACACTTTAAAAAATATCAATCAATAAACTTTCACGTTACAAGAGTGGGTGGGTGGTGCAGCAGTTAGAAATTAATTACGAACGGAATTAATGCAAACCATTTTATTCGGCCCATAGAATTGATAAATGGAGTAAATACCATTTTAGGCTCCACTTCATAGATTTTAACATCGCCTTCCCCCTCAGCCGCCTCTACGCTCATATCTTTCGCCTCCGCAACCTTTGCTTCCTCTTCTACCTTTGAGATCTCATTCCAGTAGTAGGATGCCTTATCTTTTGCACTGTCCAATTTACTCTGGCCATACTTGATCTACACATGTATAAATGTTTTGTATGATGGTTGTTCAAAATCCTCTATATTGTGTTTCTAAAACTGTTTAGACGACTGAGGTGTAGTTTTTAGATTAATCTTAAAAATAATTGCTGATCTTCATAGTATTAATACATTTGAATGTAGATAAATGTGGAACAAGATGAAAAAATGTGGCTAAAATAATAATTTGTTTCTATGTTTTTATTTCTTTGTAGATGGAGGAGCGTTTTATTCTTTATATCCTAATTACAATTGACACATATCAATTCGGGATATTTAAGTGTCAAATATATGTTTCCCATTAATGCTGCATATTTGATTGATTCTTTTTGGTTGTGACCATTATTATTTTCCTACTTTCAAACAGAGAGTGATATTTTTTATTTATTTATTTATCCATTTATTTATTTATGTTAAACTTTTTTTGTTAATTTACTTAGTCAAAGTGAAACATACCAAGTCCATGGTGAAGTTCAGTCTGTTCAAAGTTTCTTTACTTCGCTTCTGAACGATTGTCAAATCCGCAATAGCTTGGTTGTATAGTCGACGGCGCACTTCCCCTGTTAAAGTTGCCGCTCTGGTCAACTGATTGCAATTGATGTCTTCCTTCCCCGGGGCAACTTCCATTCGGCAAGTTTCATCAGCTGAAATAGATTAATCAATTCCAAAAAAAGAATTCAGAAAATATTACTAATTTTGTAAATAATGTTTTGTTTTGTAAATACATTGTATTTTCCATCTCAGACACCCTTTGCAAGTCTTATTTTACAACTCTTATTAAATCTAAAATAGCACTTTGTCTACAATCAAACTGATAATCCTTTGACCCGGTCACAGCTAGCATCTGGCCTCGAGGATAATTTTCCCATCAATTCTGTAATTGTAAAGTGAACATGTGACAACAAACATCTCAATGGTTTACTCACTTTCAGTCTTGGGTTCATCATCGGGCAGGTACTTCTCCACATAACTCTCTGCTGTGCCAAACAAGGTATCTACCCCTGCAAGGATTGTTTGGACATATGGAGTTTTCAAAGCATCAGACACCTACAAACAAAGAAAGAATATTGACGTTTTCTATTGGGTACCATTTAAACAGTGAGTATGATACGTTCGACGACAACAACGTCCATGTGAAAGGAACTTTCACTAGCCCCGATCACTAGCACAGTTTGGATGGTCAATGATGAGACCGATCATAGAAATAAAAAAGATAATGTTTTGTGGTGCATTTTAAATTTACCAACAGCAATGTAAGATGCATTCCGTAATGTAACTAATAAGGAACTCAAGGTCACTAGTTAGACAGTTGTCATGGTGATAATTGGACTCCTCATTGAAATTGATGCTTTGTCAACTTGATCCTTGCAAAAGGTTTTATTAAAAATATAAAATAATGATTTCATATCTTTTAGATGATTTTGCTGAAAATATTTTGGTATAAACCTTTGAAATGTTAAGCAAATCATACACAACTTCTTATAAACAATGGTTGAACAATAAAGTTGTACATTATGATCTAAATATCAATGATACTATACTAGTGTCCATCAAAAGGTTTCTTACCGTTCGCTCTAGAATTTTTACTAAAAGGAGTTAGACACTAAAACACAACCTTTTTGATCGCCCCTTGTATTGAACAATAACAGTTTGAGGCCATGAGATCTGATTAATTATTCCGACCCCGCCAATTGTCAGAGACAGTACGGGATAAAATGTTCCTCAAATATTTTATCACGTAATTTTATAGGGATAGTTGCATTTAGAAACATCTTTATCCAATAGTACCACGTTGTAGCACTTGAGCCACGGGATAGTCACTTTTCAAAAGACACTATCCCATAATTCTAGTTTCAAAAATGTCGGGATGAAGATATTTAGAACGAGAGGTATCGCAGCGCTGTCTTACAAATTTTGCTGTGGGATTAAATAAATTCAAAAAAGCAATGCTTGATCAAAGTATATGCTATCAGTCTATCACACATTTCCATCGTATAATTATAATATTAGCATTGTGTCCCTTACAAAAACTTTCTTGGTGCTCATGATCTTTTCTTTTCTCAGATTGCTAGAAAATTTATATCTATTGTACAGATAACTGTTTTGGGGTCCTGATATAATGCATAGTTTTGATTAATCCTGGGTCGTGTTATTTTGAATCATATTACCATAACTATTGTATGTAATTCATCATAATTGTTGCATAATGGTTGAATAATCCTGCTCAAATTGTCTTCTCCATGGTATTGGCTGATTTACATTTGCATATGAGAAGAATGCAATGTAGACATGAAGTTGGCATTGAAAACAGTGAAATGTTTGATAGAGCCTAGGCTTATGTCAGTTTATTATAAAATATTCTATAAAATATACATGTATCCAGCAAATGAATTACTGTACAAAAGAAAAAGAAAAAATCAAACAATTGTAAAAGACTAATACAAACACTTTTTGTTTACTGTACACATTAAATTAAACAAGTTTTGGTGATGGTGAAAAATACTGTCTGCAAAAATGGAACAAATACATTTGCCTTAGTGTATCAGAAAAGATGTTAAAAGCAAAAAATAAATGTAGTAATGTGTGTAGCGCACAATGTCATGTTCAATGGAACCGTCCAAACAAAGGATTTAATTAGTGACAGCAAAACAATAAAAGCTGAACCAAAAATGAAAAAGCTAAGCCATTTTGACCTCATTTTACTGAAAGGCATGATTTCAGGTCAACCTACCATTCACGATAGAAGTCAGTAAACCTCATGATAGAAAGCAGATTAACCTCATGATAGTAGTCATAATTTGATAATACATAATGGTAGATGTCAGGTTAACCGCGTTATAGAAGTCCGGTTAACCTCATGATAGCAGTCATAGTAAGATAATAACATAATGGTAGATGTCAGGTTAACCTCATGATAGAAGTGAGGTTAACCTCATGATAGAAGTCATTGGTTTCTTATCATCCTCATGATAGTAGCCATGTTAAACGCATGACAGGTGTAAGGTTAACCTAATGAACGAAGTTAGTTTTAAGCCTCAAGCAGAAATCATATTTACCTAATGATAGAAGTAAGATTAACATATCCCGTTTACTCTTGCATCAATACCTTTGTACCTAATCTTTTGAATGGTACATTGGAACCCGTGACTTGATGCAAGGCTACTAAACATGGACCAAAATGCTACAAAGAGGCAAGTGAAACAAATAACTATAATGTGTGAATAGAATGTGACTACAGACTCCACTCCTTAATGTAAAGAACTAGAAATCGACAACTCTGTGGAGAGCAAATCCCAACGAACAAATTATTCATGAATTAATAGCATTATTATAACAGTATAATATAGCCAAACATGTACATAAGATATCTCGTAATTATTGAGAATTCTCGCAAGAGATGACCCTTTTGGAAGCACTTTTAAAGCGACAGCCATCCCGAAAAAAATTGTTTCTGTATTTACAATCTTCTGATGGCAAAGGTTATTTGCTTTAATCAGAGCTTCGTATCAAGCTATTACCATGAAATTTGAACAATATACTAAAGTACATTTGTAACTCAATACAATTTTTAGAGATGATGGAGAACCAATTATCAATGTTTCAAGTGTAACAAGGATTTACGTCATATTGAAATTATCCAGAACATACGTTTTTGATCCCCATGTTTTTGATTTTGATCCCATTATCAGAAATTTTAAAAGATAAAAATGATTTTTTTGTTTTTATATCAGGGAGATAACCACTTTGACATGTGCACATTTTTTAATTTTGAGATATCAGATGCCGAACTACGACCCTTTTTATGCCCATCCGATATACATCTTTCCACCAACTATGAAGAAAATCCATCCATTAGTCGGATTGATGGACTGACTGATGGATGAACAGACACAGGGCTTCATTTTATCCCTACCAAACTTTGTTCGTTGGGATAACAACTCTTATTCTAGTGTGTAAAAATATAATAATAATAAGGATGGGTTGCATGTTAAGTCATCTACAAAACGGCTAAAGCTTTTTTCTTCAATTTTTGAGAATCTTGGAATCTGCTTTTTTGGAGAAAATCAAATGCATTGTGACAACTAGTTAAAGATACAATTAAATAGGGTGATGTTATTAAAGTAAAGGTTGGGTTAGCTAAAAAAAAGATGACCATAAACAGCTCCAGTAGAAGAAGGATGATAAGTCAGGAGTGTTGAAAAGAGAATGTTCATAGACATGTAAGTCAATGCTACTTTATTCCTTGAAGGTTGCTCTCGTATATTTAGATGTTACTTGCAGAGAGCTGTTCCATCAGACATGCTCTACACTGAAAAACCATGCATAGCATATATTTTCTCTGGTGATCTTTAAATATATTGGAAGAATAAGTGCCTCGATTCAAAGATGAAAGGACGCTCATTATTCAGAAGGCTAGCTGATTTGCAAGTATTTGTTAACCTCGCCAAAATCCTAAAACTGTTTTCATAATATATTCTAGTTCCACTTTAACTTAGTCTATAGCCTGGATGGGGATCTCCCGTTAAGGTTACAATGTAAAATTCGATCTAAAAGCTCTGTTTCATTTCGAAACGTTAATCTTAAAGGAATAATATGTATAGAAGTTGAATCACTACAATGACATGGCTGAATGGCATGCACATTTTTTGCCAAGCTTCATGTACGTGTATATATATAAGCCATTTACCAATTCATTATTAATAAAATATTATGTGCAAAGCTGTTTTAAATATTGTCCATATATTGTAGTGTGTATAAATTTCTAAAAGAGTTAATTTGCTTATTTAACGTTCTTATTTAATAAAAATAGCCTGTATCCTCCTTTTCATTTCCACTATATTCAACTCTCTCCCAATCAGCATATTGTTTTGTTTCCATGGAAACCTGCTCTGTAGTTTCATCCATCTCTGGTTCCTTGTACTCATCTTCTTCCGAGTTGTAGTAATTTTCATCACCTTCCCCATCTTCTCCTTTCCAGTCAGCAGAATTTACTGTTTCCAGGGAAACGTGCTCTGTGATATCATCCTTCTTTGGGCCATGGTCCCCATCTTTTTCCGAATTGTAGTCATTTTCATCACCTTCCTCGTCTTCTGCTTCACCATTCTCAACCATCCGTGCATTCATCTTCAAACCCTACATGTAGAACATACGCTTATAAAAGATACTTATCAAATTGTCCAAAAGCAGATATTGGATATTGGTATGTTGTCGTCAGACTAATGTGATGATAAACATCCTATTTCATGGATTTCAAAATATGGAATGTGCATTATAATGGTCTAAAAATGTGGTTTTTGCTCCTGATATTTATGTTTCTGATTCATATTGTTTGCCGAGCTCTTGTCTTCATTTTGCACAGATTCGCGATCTTTGATTGCCATGTTTCCCATTTGGAAGTTAGCTTGCATGGAGAGCCCGATATGAGTTCCAAAATTTAGACATTCTCCTTGTTTTATCAGTATTGAAATAGCAGAGTTGAGCTTGAAGTCAAACGACTGGAAATACACAAACCAACATTATCAATAGAAGTGATACAAAATTAAAAAATGGTTGTTTGTAAATTTTCATAGAATATCTGAATCTTTATAATAGATGAAAAATGTTGTATTGATTCAGAAATGAATTCTTGAGAGATGACGAAAGAGTTTATCTCAGATGTTTCATTTTTCCATTTGAAACAAATTTTTGAGAAAACAAGGATTGGTTTATATTTTGTAAATTTTACTCAACCATGTATCTGGTAAAATTATTGACAGCAAAAAATCAGAATCAGGTGAACCATAAGACATAAAAGCTGAGCCAGAAACATAAAAATCAGAAACATAAAAGCAGTGTGACCTTCTTTTTCTGGAAGACGTGATTTCTGGTCAACCTATGTATACTGTTCACAGAATTTATACCTCTTGAAATATATTAACACATTCAGAAACCATTCACTTAATAAGGTTAATGAGTATTTAAAGATTCCATCAAATCAGAACACAGTGGATCGAATAATATAAATTCTTTATTGTACAACAGAGCGCATTTTGGCTATCATTACATTCAGTGAAATTGATTTACCTCATATTATGAGGTAAAGTTTCATAATTTTAAGTTAGCAGTTGAGTAATACACATAAAAAATGTTTCCTTGCAAATTGATGTTAATTTTTTAGTCAATCCATGAAAAATATTTTGCCGTGAAAAGAATACAAGCACATGACCCAATGGATTGTGGAAGATGTAATGCACTTGTGTATTGCATTCCAGACTTTAAATTTTGGTTTATATCCCCATTCAAGTCTTGATGCAAGACACATGTCGTTTAGATCATCTACATTGCATTGCGATCTCAGCTTGTTTCCTTCAGTAACACTAAAACCTCACAATCAAAAATATCTATAAAATAGCCAAGACTCTATACATGCACTCAATCAATATTATGTAAAAGATAAACTAATTTAAGTGGCATATGATTTTTGTTTTAAAATTCTTAATTAGTGCGTATTAATTAAAATGTAATTACCTTATTCATTCAGCAAGCAAGTTGCGTTAGATGTAAAAAGTTATTTGGGTACTGTTGAAGTTAAGTAACATTTCAAAACAAACTAGCTATCTGAAATTATGCTTTGTATAGTAGTATCCGTAAAGCAGCTGATGGTATGATTCTGTGTAAATAATACCCATATCATAGTGTAAAATAGTCAGATTAACCTCTTGATATAAGTCAATAGTTAGTTCCATGATGGAAGCCAGGTTAACTTCATAATATAAATCAGGTTTAACTAATGACAAATACCAGGTTTACCTTATGATAGAGATTAGGTTAATCTCATGAAAATAGTCAGATTTACCTAATGACAGATGTCAGATATCAGGTTAACCTCATGATAGTAGTCATTTTACATAATGTCAGATATCAGGTTAACCTCATTATAGTAGTCATTTTACATAATGTCAGATATCAGGTTAACCTCATGATAGTAGTCATTTTACATAATGACAGATGTCAGGTTAACATCATGATAAAAGTGAAGTTAACTTCGTAATAGTAGTCATATTAAACGCATGAGAGATGTAAGGTTAACCTCATAGAAGAAGAAGTCAAGTGAAGCTTCTGATAGAAATCATAATAACTCTAGGATAGAAGTCAGATTAACATGTCAAGTTTAGTCTTGCATCAAAACCTTTTGTACCCTATCTCTTGCATAATGTGGTGTCACCTGTGACTTGATGCAAGGAGGGACTGTATGTTTCGATTTTCTTATAGTACTCTTTTAATGCCGACACGCTGTAAAAGGTTTTGATGGTATGACAATAATCCCTATAGCCTCAATGAAGCCCCAAAGGGGCTGAGGTATTGTCTATATATTATGAAATTCCAAGTTAAAGGGGATTAATTACACAGAATCACACCAAGTCAACATAATGTTTCGGAATTCTCATTCAATTCTGGTGTTTTAGCCAAATAGATTACTAGGAACATCAGTTGATTAACCCCGTCCCTTATAATCCAAAAATGTGATTGTTAAATTATTTAGAGAAGATTTTGTTGTATCCATGGAAACATGCTCTTTGATCCCATCCATCGCTGTATCATGGTTCTCATCTTCTTCCCGAGTTTATCGTTGTTTCTATGGAAACGTGTTCTGTGATGTCGTCCATCTCTGGGTCATGGTCCCTTTCTTCTGAGTTGTAGTCATTTTCATCCCATTGGTTGTTCTCATATTTCCCAGAATAACTGGATCTTCAGAACAATCAAACATTGAATGTTGCATTAAGTTAGCAGAAGAGGGAGGAGTTTTATCTCAGATGTCTCATATTTCACATTTACAAGAAAAACGTTTTTTTGGGAAACAAGGTTTGGTTTATTTTTGATAATCCTTCTCACAACGGAAACATAAAAGTTAATTTATGGTCAACCTACTGTTCACAGAAATTACATTTAATTCTTGAACTTGACATACACATTCAGAGGCCATCAACTCTATCTTGCTAAATAAATATTCATATACAGATATGCATGATATATCAAATTCCATCAAATCAGCAGTTCGGATGATATGCATTGCTTAATTTTACATGTGCATTGTGGCTATTTTTAAATTCCTTAATTCCAAGTTGGCAGTTGTAATCGATTGGAAATACCAAGAAAGTAAGTTTTTATTTTGCTGCGCATAGTGTCCCTTGGATTAGTACATAAGAAATTATTGTAATTATTTTATCCATTCAGCAAGTAAGTTGAGTTAGATGCAAGATGCTGGGTGTGCCCCGTTGAAGTGAGGTATCATTTCAAAACAAACTATTTGAATTAATGCGTAGTCTGAGTATGGTAGTTTTATTTACAGTTTATTCAAACACACATTATATATAATATTGTCACGGCCTAAGACATTTTGATCCTGTAAGCACGTCACCATTACAATTTACACTTTTGTTTGATGAAATTAAGACTTTGTTTTATAAACGCATGTAGAAGCACATACTATTCTTTAAATGGTTTCTCTTATTTTGCAAAGAAAATCTGTAAAAAATCAAATCTAAGACATATGTTATTTAATGAACTGTCACCAAACCGAATAGTCTGGCTAACGTTCTAAAGTGAATCTTGATGAAAAACTAAAGTTCAGTAGTGCCCATAAGCAGCTGATGGTATGATTCTGTGTAATAATACCCGCATCAGAGTATAACATAGTCAGGTTAATCTCATTAGAGAAGTCATTAGTTAGCTATAGCCTTAGGATGGAAGTCAGGTTAACCTCATGATAGAAGTCAGGTTAACCTCATGATAGAAGTTATGTTAACCCAATGGCAGATGTCAGATGACCTCATGATAGAAGTGAGGTTTACATCACGATAGAAGTTATCAGTTAGTCTCATGATAGAAGTCAGGTTAACCTCATGATAGTCAGGTTACCCTAAGGACATAACCTCATTATATAATTAAATAGATTACCCTAATGACAGAATTTAGGTTAATCTCAAAAGTTAAAAGTAAGGTTATCCTATGAAAGATGTCAGGTGAAGTCATTTTTCACATAATGACAGATGGCATATTAACCTCACGCTAGCAGTGAGGTTAACCTTATGATTGATGTCATCGGTTTCTTATTAGCTTCACGATTGTGGACATGTTAAATTCATGGCAGATGTAAAGTTAACCTCAACAAAGAAGTTAGTTTTAAGCCTCAGGCAGAAATCACAAATTGGTCTTATGACAGAAGTCAGATTAACATGTACAGTTTAGTCTTGCATCAATACCTTTTATATCCAATCTCTTGCAAGGTATATAGGAACCTGTAACTTGATGCAAGGCTTATAAACATGGACCACAATGTCACAAGAGGCAAGTAGAGGGGCCTAATAACTAAAAATAAAAGCTGGGCGAGCTGACAAATATGATCAATTTGAGTGTCTAAGCTTTGTGACTCCATTATATAAACCTCAACATGAAATCTCGGTTTACAGTGCTGGGATATAATGTTGACACTAAAAGGATCATAGACGTGTAAGTCAATAGGACTTGATTCCATGAAGATTGCTCTATGTAGAGATATTACTTGCAGAGAGCTGTTCCATCAGACATGCTTTACACCGATTACCCCATACGTAGCATATATTTGACCTGGTTATATTTAAATATATTGGAGGAAAAAAGTGCATTGATTCAAAAATTAAAGACACTTAATATTAACAGAATGATATGTGCATGTTGTTTCACCTACCACCATTTCTGCAGCTTTACTGTTGAGTGCCTCACCCAAATGCGAAACTGTTTCCTGGATATAGTCTAGCTCCACTTTAACTTGGTCTATGGCCTGAGTTGGGATCTCTCGCATACGTTGGGTCTGCAAGTATGAATAAAGTATAAACAAGAGAAAAGGGCACCACGAAAAGGGCACCACGTGCAAATGGTTACAAAAGTAACAATTGTTACAGACACCAACTGATCTCGATCACAAAAAGGTAGCTGTCTATGTTTATGTTTATGTTTCTTTATTTGGACCATAAATTGATCATACAAATACATACTGGTATATATTAAGTAAAATAAAATAATATTACAATTTTACAGTGATAGTAAAGGTTGGTGGTGGTGTACAGAACATGTAATTATATGCCCCTTGGGTTTGATGATTGCTTTAATGCATCCCTGTGCATTTCATAAATAGCATGTATTGTCCTCAATATTAATAGACAGTCCCTATCTCCAAACTGACTACTGTCCAGGATAAGTCTTATCTTTTCTAAATCAGTGCCATATAGGTTACTGTTCTCAATAATATTGTTTAATTGATGACTTAAATGCTCAACTGCCTGGCAGTGAAATAGTAAGTGTTGCAGTGTCTGCACCTGAGGCCCAGGAATATGTTTAAAATGTTTAAAAAGTCCCCTAGTGTACTGAGTTGGTAATGTGTGGTGTATACATGTATATTAATCTTATTATATTACTTACATTGAATAAGAATAAGACTGATTTTTTATTAATGACTGTATACCCGGGCCTCAGGTCTGCACTGCCCTATGACAAAGTGGACATGTCTCACTATCTTTATATTTTTCGCAAATGAGTGATGAGTCACAATATGTCACAATATTTAAGGGTGGCACAAAAATGTAGTAAAATGACAAACAATCTAAAATAACTATTGATATGATCAAAGGGATAATGACATTTCCTTTGAATGAATATGTATACCCAAGTGCCAACGGGAAGGTACCAGAAATGGTTAGAGAACACAACGATACTAACACCCCCTCTTCTCACCATACACGTGCCAATATCACAATCCCAGACCATAACACCAAGGGACATTACATTCATACTGAATTCATTACAATACACGTTGAAAAATAAATCAAAGATTGATAGCCAATACTTATAATATTAAAAAATACTTGTAGACTCTTAGCGAATCAAAGGGTCAATATCCATCCGCAAAGTTGACGCCGTAATCCATAAAAACTTGCAAAACTTGAATTAATGATTTTTCAGCAAAGCGTTGGAACTAGAAATATGCAAGCTCAAAAGCCAATGGAAAAAACAAAAATAGTTACAGAACACAGCAAGAAAAATAAATCATCTAAGAGTATACCAGTCATAATGAAATAAAACCCCAACTATCCCAAATCTTACGTGAAAAGAATTAGTGTCTAATTCCCCCTACTCCACAATTCGAATATTAATATCACAATCCGAGATCATAACACCAGGGGGGGGGGGGGGGGTTCAAAGGGCATTTCATTCAAACTGAATTCATTACAATACATGTTGAAAAAATGAATTAAAAATTGATAGCCAATATTCAAAACATCAAAAATAGTTGTAGGTATTCAAAAAATAGATAAGAACATTCAGTCTCAAAAAAGATGTGGGACAGATAAAATCCAATTTCTAAGTCAATTAGCACATCAAAGGGTCAACATCCGTCCGATAGGATTTCGCTTTTTATTCCATAGTTAGCATGATATTCATAGGATAACATGTGAAAATAAAAACGGTATTTTTGAAATCAGTGGTAAAATATGATATTTTTGACAAATTTTCACTTAACCATAACATACGGTTTTTTAGCCATGACATACGACGTCGTATGCGATGGTTTATGGATTTTTGCTACTTCAGACTCAAAACGAGGCTAAGTGTCAACATCGCCGGATCGTTTGGAAATTCGAATTAAATAACTTAATTTCCGACGATTCTGATGATGACTTTAACTATGGAATAAAAAGAACATCCTATGATTTACTCGTGTTATGATTTTAATCCACTCATGGATATTGATATCTGCACTCTCTCGCTACGCTCGCTCGTGCAGATATCATATCCATTCGTGGATAAAAATCATATCACTCATAAATCATAGGATATCCTCTATTTACACAGTATGAACCTTGACTTTAGAGTTGTATCACTAGAATACCATGTCTTGACCTAAGATCTAAATATTGTGAGCATTCCCTGCTATATCTAATAAGCTGGGATTCAAACACGTGGGTCTTCATTGACACCTAGCTTTAATATTCTATTTTATTTTAGATACAGATTTAACATAGCAACAAATGGGAAATTCAATCAACGACCTTCCAAAATCGTTCATAAAGGGTGTTCAAGAGTTTCTAATGTTTTACTGTACTTACATCGGTGAGTGTGGAATACACAGCCTTTGAGAGCCCATGTGCATTACTGAGTCTCTCTTGCACACTTCCTGGCAACATATTGTATGGGTCTTTCGTCATATTGAGACCCCTTCTAAGTTGCATAGCTAAGCAACGAGCTAACAGAATCCCCCGTCGCTCCATTGTCTGCCATACAAAAATAAATGTAAAGACTGACGTCCAAAGACATTCATGTTTAGACAATTCAAAATTCAGTGTTCTCCACAATGAATAAAATACAATGACAATGCATGGCTGATAACTTCCACATAGAGAATACAATAATGCATGTTACATATCAATTAATAAACGTTCACGTTACATTACAAGAGTGGGTGGGTGGTGCAGCAGTCGTAAAAGAAATAAATTATGAACGAAATTAATGCAAAATCTTTGATTCGACCCCTAGAATTTATAAATGAAGTATATACCATTTTCGGCTCCGCTTCATAGATTTTGACATCGCCTCCTCCCTCAGCCGCCTCTACGCTCATATCTTTTGCCTCCGCAACCTTTACTTCCTCTTCTACCTTGGAGATCTCATTCCAGTAGTAAGATGCCTTATTCTTGGCACTATCCAAGTTACTCTGGGCATACTGGATCTGCAATTAGATAGATATACTTTGAAATAGGGCTGTTCAGAATACATGTTGTTTCTAAAACTGTTTCGACGGCTGAGGTGTAGTTATTGGAAAAATTGTTGGTCTCGTTTTAAAAAGTTCGAATGTACTTCTTGGTAGTGACAATAAATACTTTTCTACTTTGATATAGAGAGAGGAGATATGTTTAACATCTTTTTATTATCAGTTACCATACATAGCCTTGGGAAAACGTACCAAGTCCACAGTGAAGTTCAATCGGTCCAAAGTTTTTTTACTTCGTTTCTGGACCTTTGTCAAATCCGACATAGCTTTGTTGTAAAGTCTACGGCGCACTTTCCCTGTTAAAGATGCCGCTCTGATCAACTGATTGGCATCTTCCTCTTCCTGGATTTCTATTCGGCAAGTTTCATCACCTGTGATATTGTAATCAATTAGAAAATTTCAGCGAAATATGACTTAGAATTTAGAAAATTTTATTGAAATTAATAATGTGAGATTATTTAAGTTACCACATATTGCATTTTCTGTCTCAGAGAACCTCTGCACTGATTCTGTAACTCTTCGAAATGAAAAATGAAAATGAGACAACAAAATCTCGAAGGCCTACTCACTTTCATTCTTGGGTTCATTATCGGGCAGGTACTTCTCCACATAACCCTCTGCTGTACCCAACAAGGTATCCACCCCGGTAAGGACTGTTTGGCCATAGGGAGTTTTCAAAGCATCAGACACCTACAAACACAAGAAAGTATATTGACGTTTTTTATTGGGTAGCTAATAGTAGGACCACGGGCTTCCAAGACAGCCAATGGTAGGACGAATATAGTCCTGAGTAGGGATACTATATTTAGTGGTGCGACTGCAAGATGACATGATGAAATAAACATGGCTCCTGCGACATAATAGACAATTTATTTCTAGTTGAAGGCAGAAATATGTGATGAGTATCAGAATGGATGGCTGGTGGATGTTCAATACAATAAGAATGCAAAGACGATATCAAACTCCTGAATAGGTCTTTACACAATTCAACATGTCAGAGTCCTGCACCTTGTTGTTGGTGAAATCCTTAATCTCCTTTACTTTCTGCGCACTGTATTCCTTGACATCATTTATCTTCTCGGTACTGAAGTTTGTCAGGTTCTGCACCTATAGACCACATAAGAACAAAATGGGGATCAGATGTGTCTCCAAAGACATAATATATAAAACTATATGTTATTTCGTCAAAATGTCACATACTTTGACCCCATACCTCTCAAATTAATTGATTGACATCTGTGAATGTACATTTCTATAAGGCAACCAATTTGGAATTTCGCCCTAAAATCTTTTCTGTAAAGTCTTGTCTACGAGTTTCCAGGCGAACTATTTGACGGATGGATTTCATTATTTGAATGATTATATTAATGAAAATCTCGGACAGCTTAATTTTGGTTATGCTAGGTAAATGTTAATGTGGCAATTTTCCACCCCAGATTCTCGTCTGTAAGATCTTGTCGACGACTTTTCAGGAGAACCGTTATCGTCAAACGTTTCCAAAGGAACAATTTGATGGATTTCAAATTTTCCGGGACGAGTATTCTTTGTATGCAAATCTCAAACTGATTAGTTTTTTGGGCATTCTTGGTAAGTGTTAAGCCGGCGCGGCCATTTTTTATTTGTCCATCCTAAATCTAGACTTCAAAGTCTTTCAGGCGAGCCATTTGAAAAGATCATATGCAACATTTTTAGGGATGGTTTGTATGCAAATCTCGAAAGGATTAGTTTTTGGGCATTCCGGGTTTCCCAGTTTAGTGCATGGTCGCACGAGTGGGCAATTTTCAGTGTTTCTTGGCCTCCTTATTGTAGAAATCAGCCGTGCCAAGATTTAATTTTGTAGACATAATTTTCAAAATTTACCTTCTCCACACTGTATGTTACTGGGGTTGCTACGTAGTCAACAGTAGGTTTGACACGTGCCTCATACATTTCCCTTGTGGTATTAATCACCTACAAATAGGATATACAGGGTGTCTCAAAAAAATGTACCCAAAAGTATATCAAGAGCACAGATAAACCAATCAATATTTTCAGACATTTTTTGCAGGGTCATGTAGCCGAAACATGAAAGTTTTCTCCCCAATACACCATTTTTATTTCAGTCTTGTTTTTTGATGCTTTAACCATTTACCTTATACACCTTATAATCGATTTGAACGACAGGCTGTATCCTTACTGTTAGATTGTTCATCACATTTGATAATAATTCCGGTGGAATGTTTTGGATTTCTCTTTGGATGTTGCCCTTAAGTTGCTTTAGAGCTTTTTGCTTGGAATGAGCATTAAAACACTCCTTCAAATAGCCACAGAGAAAGATGTTTGAGGATGACGATGGCAGAACAAATACAGATAATCAGGTCAATTATCGGCAAATGATTCAGGAGTTACCTTCCAGAGTTAGGCAGGCTAGCCTGGAGACCAAATGATATCCAAACGAAAACACAGTGGTCTCGAATTGATACATCAAACAAAACCTACACTAGAATCCCAACCAATGCAGTTTCTTGAACCTCTGACCTCTCTGTATAAGGGGGCTATAAGACATTGTGAGGGCCTCCCTAGTCACCATATTTGATGGCCCATACTTTTTTCTCTGAGGCTATTTGAAGGACCATTTTTATGCTAAACCCAAGCAAAGAGACCAAGAACAACTTAAGACCAGCATCCGAACAGAAATCAAAACATTCCACCAGATATATCAAATGTGGTGAACAATGTAAGAGTAAGGATGCAGACTGTCATCGAAATATGAGGTTACATTGAATATGTGGTGTAAAAGTTAACGGGTTAAAGTATCAAAAAGGCAAAACTGAATTAAAAATTGTGTATAGGGGAAAAAACTTTCATCTTTTATCTGCAAGGCCATGCAAAAAATGTCTGAAAATATTGATTGATTTGTCTATGGTGCTGATATACTTTTGGGTACATTTTTTGAGACACCCTATATATATAAATAAATAAATACATGTTGCTGCAACTGCTACCATGATAAACAATTGGATCAGCTACAGCAGGACATAATTGAATTAAAATACAACATTTGCGGTATTAAGAAATGAATAAAAAGTTGGAATGATTCACATATATGTATTTGAATATTTTGTGTTATTAGTATACTGTATATATTTAAGCAAATACGTATATTTCCATAATCTGATCTTGGGGAATAATGGTGAGATGCCAGAAGGTGTTGAGAAAGACCTGTGGTCTGGAGAATGGATGTATGAAGAAAATTTGTTCTGTGATATGAAGGATGGAATGTCATACGATGAAAACGTTAATCTTCTAATGAACTTACCTCCTCAGTGGGTGACTTGACAACAGGGAAGCTTTCTTCTAGCTTGTTCAAGGATGTCATTCCAAGAGAATTCAGTTTACTCACTATAAAATATAAAACATGTTCAATGGCCATAATTGTATTCCTAAAAATCACTGGTGTACAAAGTGACATACTTATTTCCCATAAAAACGATAATGGGAAAATCATTGAAAGGTTGTGTATTCAGCTTATTTGTATTGAATATAGCACAGTTGGAAAATCTTAGATAGACTTAAGGTCAACATTTTTAGATCTACCTTGGGGTTCAAACTTGCTGACAATGGGTAGAGTATGTTGGGCTACTCCTTTCACTCCAGTCTCTGCCATCTCTAGAGTGGACTTCACCAGACTATTGATGTTTTTGGTTGCCTCATAGGCATTGGTTAGCTGACCCAAAGCTGAGTTTACAAATGGGTACGTAGTCACTCGCGTCAAAAATTGCTCTTCCGCCATTTTATCTTCGAGCTGCTTTCCTCTCATTCGCTGAAAGTAAAGTTCTCAATGAGATTCGCTAGGGGATGGTGAGAAATTAGGCGAATATACTTCATGTAATATAATTTGTTTGTCTGAAGATGATTTGCAAGTGTTATGCAATTGGCTTTCTCGGAAAGCTCATCATAGAAATAACCCTATAGAACTCAAAATCAAATATTTAGATTCCACATTGCGGATCTAGTGTGATTGACAAATACAGATCTTGTCAAAAAGATGTCGCTTACATTAAAATTCATTTATTACATAAATATACATTTGTTACTTTACAAAACTTTGGCAAGCAAGCATTTAATGGCCTAGTCACATAGCCCGGCCGATGAGGTTACGATGAGCCAGCGATGCAATTTTCACCGAACTCGGCCGAACACCGGCCGGACACCGGCCGGACATCCGTGGCGTTTGTTGCTTAAAACCGCATCGGTGGTAGCTCGGTGAAATTTTAACTTCGGAGTTAAATTTCACCGGGCTCTCACCGAGCTCCCTCATCATGTCATCGCAGCCCCATCATAACCACATCGGAAAACACGTCGGCCGGTGAACGGCCGAGTATCGGCCGGTGTCCCGTGCATCTGAGACAACCAGAGGACGAGGTTTTTTAACGGACAGCGGCCGAGCTCCGACCAAGCTCCGGCCGATGTGGGACAGAGCATCGGCCGGTCACTGTTCAAAGCCCGTTAACAACCCGGCCGGCGATCGCACGGTGTCCTGTTACCTGCTCGGGTACCGGCCGTATTCCTTCCGATGTCCGGCCGACCTCCGGCCGGTAGTTGCTGCCACATCGGCAGAAAAAAACTACCATTTTGAGACAGACTCCGTACGGTCACCGGCCGGTGTTCGGTCGGTCGCCTGAAGATGTCCGGACGGAGTCCGTTCACGTCACCGAGCTCTGCTTCCGATGAGGAGAGCTCGGTGGCACCAAAAAAATCCACCGAGCTCTACCGATGCCGGACATCGGCCGGGCTATGTGACTAGACCATAACACTGGAACAGAGTTAATGAAACAAAAAAAACATTTTCATATTCAGACATCAGTATTTTTGCAGAGATCGCTGATGACAAACACCCAGACACCCAGACAAACATTCATACTCGTTTCCCAGTTTGATTTTCAATCAATGTACACATCATACCTTGGAAAGTCAAGATGACAAACATTACCAAATCAAAAACAGTTACGATCTTACAAAAAACATAGTCACTCCCGTTAGTTTTTGTAAGTCGAAATACTGAATTCTGCAAGTGATATAGGTGAATTTTGATAAGAAAAAATTACTCGGCATATTTTTTCACACGTAGAAAATCAAAAACATTTCAAGTTATGAAAATAAAGTCTTAAAGCATTCTCATAGCAAGGAGGATTGGCCTAGGGACGTAACTCGCCGGATATTTTCCAAGAATGAAATTGTCAGAATGTCGTATTTTTGACATTTATAAATTCATAATCAACAGTCCAAAAGATTCGAACTCATATATCTCGATCACTTCTTGTATGGTTTGGAATTTCTCGTCTGGAAATTAGACTAAAATTCGCGACTCAAATTCTGAAGTGAACAATAGCGGCTGTTTGAATTCGAATTTTGTAATCAAGACATCTCCCTCCACATGGCAGAGTATCGAGTTGGAACCCTGGAGACAATCTTCCTTGCATGCGAACCATACACAATTGAAAGAACTTTTTTAAAGACGCCAGATAAACTTTCAAATCGGTCCCACCATTTTCCACATGTAACTCGTCTTATGCCTGGGTCACATTTGCTCCGATCCATCGGCCGGCGTCCGGCCGATTGAGTGTTTTGTTCGAATATTGTATTCAATTTTGAAGAAAATACTCAATCGGCCAGGCGACATTATGAAAATCGGAGCAAATGTGACCAGGGCATAAACCTTATTATTCAATTTTTAAAAGATTGCAAAACATAAATTCATAGCTTGAATATAATATAAGTATTTCCTGTAGAACTAATAGAATAGAATATTTATTTATGATGACTGATTGTATACTCAATGCTTGTTTTGCGTGCAGGAAACAGGTAATGTCAAGTTAAATCTAATAGGGCGACGTGACTTGCTTGCACTTTACTATTCAATTTACTTTCAATCATATCCGATTCAGAGTTTACAGTGATATTGTAATACCACGGAATATAAGTTGACACATCAAAAGGACCAAAATTGAATAACAAGATAACAATTGTGAAATGCCACAGGCTTTTATTACCAAATATGAAGAAAACAAGTTTATTTGTTCTTTGAGTTAAAAGCAAGAACTGAACCCTGGGAACAGACTATGGCCTTGAATAAAAGTACGAGTAAAGACTGCTGGGGTATGTTTTCAATAATTGAAATCTCCAGGTCTTTACATTTCCTTATCAGGGTTTCCCTTAAAGAATGCATTCTCGGCAGCGCATTCTCTACCAATGGTGACGACTGTGAACTATGAACCCATCTTCCCCCCTCCCCATATTAGAGATCTCTCAAAATAAATTGTGTCCACAATAATATTTTAAATCGTCAATGTCGAGATTCATAAACATTTTGAGATATGAAAATATTGTTGAAGAGATTGTATTTTTTGTAATACATACAAGGGGTTGCTAACTACAAGAATGGGTTGTCGTTCGAGATGGCTATGGCCCAGGGAACACACGTTCGCTAAGTTTGCTAAGGCGCGCTAATTTCCGAGGCGTTCGTTAGGCTGTTTAGTTTTTTGCCAGTGTATTCATGGGGTGTCCCAGATTCTAGCTTTGAATGCATTTCCCGCTTGTAACGCGTGGGGGTAATTTGGGCGAGGACACACCATTGGTCCAAATCCAAATTGTCCGAATCCCATTGGTCAAAATCCCAATCGTACGAATCCCATTTATCCGAATCCCAAATCGACCGAATAATAATGGTCCGAAACCCCGCCTAGTAACGCTTAATTTTGATATCAAGAAAAAGCATGCAAGAAATGTGTGAACGTGGAATAAAACATCACAATAAATCAATTCTGCGTTTACGTGTAGCAGTGTTTATTGTAAACATTATGTTTAGCATTTAATCTTTGTATTCTTTGTTGCCACTTTAACAGGTTAAGTCAACGTAGGGCTTTATTTCTAATTATAGTTCTTGAAATATTTAAACAAACATAAAATATGAATCATCAATTGACCTTATTTATTCCTTGTTTGGATGAAATGCCCACTAAAGCAGAAAGCGTTGGACAAACCCGCCATTTTGAATATTATAAATGTGATATTTGGACGTCTTGATAAAAGGTTGTAAATTCGGAAATATAAAAGATATGTGGCTGAAATTCATATCATTTATTTTTCAATGTATGTTTAATAAGTGGACAATTTTTAAAAAAAAATCACCCATGCCTCGACAAAATCTCATGAGCTCTAGGACACGGCCTTGTACACATTTAGCTGAGACACAACGACCCAGATTCTACGGGACGTTTAAAACATTGCAGCATACAAAACGTCTCTTCTGCGATTATTTTGTTCCATTTCAGATACCTTTAAACGAATCTAAGACACCATTTGAAAACTCGAATTGGGTTCAACCATGGGCTTTCAAAATGTCCATGATTCAACGGGAAAGCGAGTCGTGTGCTTCTAGAACTGATTCTTTTCAACAATTAATTTGAATGTTAAAACTAGATCCGTGATTATCCAACATACAAAGGTATCATTTTCGTGTTTGCCGTAACTTTACACGCGTATCAGTACAAATAGGAGAGAACTGTCATTTGCGTAGATTTGGTCGATGAAATTGAATGTAAGTTTTTGATACGTTGAGCTAAAACGTTATCATGCAAAGCCTTTCTATCATGATATTTTTATGTGGTCCCTCGGAAAATATCAAATCGACAATTCGGACAAATGGGATTCAGACCATTTAAAATTCGGACGATGGGATTCGGACAAACGGGATTCTGACCAATGAGATTCGGACGAATGGGATTCTGACAAATGGGATTCAGACCATTTTAAATTCTGACGATTGGATTCGAAAAACGGGATTCTGACCAATGAGATTCGGACGAATAGGATCCTGACCATAACCAGAAATCCATACAGAAAGTCAGACATTGGCTTATCTTCTAATTGCCCCATTACTGAGATTGCTTATCATCGCTAGCATCGTTACCAGTGAAACTTATACTCCTCTCCTACCATTCACTATTAGGGCCTGCTACTCTGAGTACAGAGTATTGTATTACAGCATGCTAGCAGCATAGACGCTGGATGATTTTGAGGTTATACATAGTGGCACTGTAACTCAATAACTTGTGTCCCTGATTCTGAATAAATGTAATAAAGGATGCCTGCAGTTAAAGTTAAGTTTTTTACGAGACCTAATTCTATCACAGTAACTTCCTTCACATGTTCGATCGCCAGTAAACATTCACACAAAATGACAGAATTAGGGAAAAGAACAAGGAAAGCTCCATAAATGTATGGGGATTGGGAGGTCATGGGCTAACAGTGCAAGATCTTAACGTTTTGTATTTGAATTTATAGCTAGAATAATGGGTGCATTTGACTTTTTAACCCAAATTGATGTTTGATGCACTAAAAAGTTTTACTAATTGCTTTAGTTGTTTTGACGATTTATATAATAAATTCATAATGCACAAAAATTCCGGACTAAAATCAGCTGTTCTTCAGTCTGGTTTGTTTTGGTACACTTTGTATCTTACTGTACTTAGTCTACTAAATTGATTTCAAGAACTGGTATACGTGAGATTTAATGCAGGATATTTCATACAGACTATAAACTACCACCTTTGATTAAAGTGTGTATGCTGATTTGCGCATTCCCTCACTTTCTTCAAAAAATAGAGAATAATTTCAAAATTACATGAGGAGAAACACACTCGGACATGTGCCACAACATAGTATATATTCAGTCTTATTTATAATATATTTCACTCTGGAATTACGCACAATGATGGTTGTATTTTATCTACAAGTAGGCTACATCTTGTTAGAGGTGAAAACAGCTTCAAGTTTCAACAGAGCTGCTTGGAGCACTTCTAATCAGTTGTGTTGACAGCTCTCCTACATTAGCGGGTCTATTACTGATAAAGAAAGTGTCTGCTCTTTTCTGGAAATGCATTTTAAATTCGGACGAACGGGATTCGGACAAATGAAATTCGGACGAATGGGATCCTGACAAATGGGATTTGGACTATTTTAAATTCGGACGATGGGATTTGGACGATCGGGATTCGGACAAATGAAATTCGGACGAATGGGATCCTGACAAATGGGATTCGGACCATTTTAAATTCGGACGATGGGATTCGAAGAACGGGATTCGGACAAATGAAATTCGGACGAATGGGATCCAGACAAATGGGATTCGGACCATTTGAATTCGGACGATGGGATTCGGACGATTGGGATTCCGACCAATGTGATTCGGACCAATTGAACGACCCCGGTTTTAACTTTTTTATATATCTTCTTTTTATATCTTTAACAACTTTATGTAAATTTTGTACTCATCATTATGGTATAAAAGATGCATACACATAATACTCCTCCTTTCGCAATTATTTGTAAGATTATCCTTTAATTGACCCCAATCTCATTTTAGAATTTCATAATCTGTGATCTTCTGATCTAAGATTGTGAATGTGATTTTACCGACTTTAATTTCTAGAAAATTATTTTGTAAACAAGTTGTCTACAAGTCTCAGTAAATTAAATTTGTCTTTTACAATGCTATCATTAATTTCATGTTCCTTATAACAAAGTATTGAATTATAAAGCAAATACTTACATGTATCAGAAAGCTGCGATTTGTACGAATCGTAGAAATCGGTGATACAAGCGTTTTGCTCTGTCTTTTATACTTTATCTTGTGAAAATGAGACGCATGAAAAATAAAAATACTCCAATCTGATTGGTTGGAAATAGTTAGTCAACAAAATAATCATACGCTCACTTATTGAGCGATTAAATAATGATCTTATCTCAAGGACACAATATCAAGCACCACGGCCACTGATGTCAACAGAACAGGATTGGTATCGATATGGCGAACTAACTCAACATTGTGTTTCTTTTAAACCAGTTATTGAAAACATTCTGTAAAAACACGTTCCTTTATGTAATGGTCACTGATTAACAATTTAATGCGAAAATTATTTAAATGTATTTTTTCTAACTGTTTTTGAAATACATTTTTTTGATTTTTAGGGCAATTTTTTGTTCCTTTCTACCAATTCTTGAGAATGAAATAAAGTATTTTTCCGAACTTTGTTGGAACAAAATAGCATGTACAACATGTTCTTAGACCTCTCAATAATATACGTTATTCAAATGAAAATTTGGTTGATTTAACACAAAGTATTCAAATTGTTTTTGTTTAATTACTGTTTAGAATAATTTATAATTAATAAAAATGCTGAATATAATTAAATATGTCAGGTCACTTTACTTAAGTTGTGTTTGTTTCTATAACCTTGGATTTTTATTTGGACCCTATTGTACTGACATAGTGTCATCAACTGACATGTGAAAATTATACATTTCTTGTGGTTTGCTCACTATATTACCACAGTTGGCTTTTGACTACCGATGGAGCGAATGATAAATGCTAAACCGAGAAATGTGTCTCGACTTACGTAAAAAATTACTGACATTTAAGAACACTTTGACAAGGTAATTAAGTTTTTTCACTAATTTTAGTTTCTCTCTTGTGTAAATTCATGCAGATCTAATTCATGCTGTATAAACTCCATCATGATAAACCATGACATCTCAAATCTTCTCAGCCCTGAACAGAAAGATGCTATGAGTATCAGAATGTCTGAATGTATGGACTCAAATATATAAATATGTAATATTATACTAAAATCACAATGTACTTTACTAATTTGGGATTATTGGAATATTTTTTGCTCCTACATAACATATTACATTACAGGACATCATATTTACAGGGTAGGGGAAATAGAAAACTCACTTATATTCTACTTAAAAGAGAAGATACAGGGTGGTCAAAAAATGGAAACCCTGCATTTTCCTCATATCTTTGTCATTTTAAGAAATAACTCCCTGATATTTCACACACCTGTTAATCATCCAACCGCCTACCATATCTCATGACCATCAGATAATAGTTACAATTTTACAGCACTTTGAAAACGGTGTAAGGGTTTCCAGTTTTTTGACCACCACTTGGTTATGGACACAATGACAAATTAGGAAGTATATAACATATGACATATTTTATGTCTCTGTGTAAAGTTTCAAAACAATGCAGGTTTTCACTAGTTAAGAGATATAATTAAGAATAAAAAGAACTGTCACGTATTATAAAATATAAATCGAACGAATAGTATAACCAGTCACTGGCGCCTGGTACATAGACATCGTCCGATCTCTACCAATGCAATCCTCTGAGGCCCGGTGCGTTGTGACCTTGGATTGAATAATTGCAATGTGAACTAACTGTACTAAAGTTTTTTTATAAAAATAGTATAATAGAATCACAGAAAATGGCATTTAACGATTGTGAATACATTCATAGAAATTCAGAACAAATGTTTAGTATAGAAACCTTTTTGAATACAATAATAAATACACGAAAAACATGAACAACATTTGAATCACTCTTAGTGTGCCATTCCATCAAAAATCTTGTCTCCAATACTTTATTTTCAACAACTTTCTGACTTGAAATGAATACTAAAACAAGTATGTAAAACCAAGAATATCTTTGGGAAAACATTGCTTAGATTGCTATGGGGTCGCTTGGGATCACGTGTCACCGAAATGAAATGGCAATCGTTTAACAAGTAGTTTTATAGAAAATACAATTGTTCTTTATGAGATACAGTAGTAGTTGTTGCCGTATACAAAAACAACAAGAATTCTCAATAGTTTTTGCGTGATGACTGAGTAAATATATGATGAATGACATGAGAGTGACAACTATGAGTGACAAGTGATATAAGTAAAAATAACTTGACAACTGAAAAGGACCAACATTAAGTAACAAGATAACCATTGTGCTCTATCAGGTGATGGGATCAAAAGACCAAGTTCATAGGTTTGTCAAGAGAACCTAGTTTTTAACTCGATTGTAACTGGTCTATGCGCAACGTGTGTCCCATGCACATGTGCTAGTATTGGATCAATAACATGCAGATCCTCCCATGAGACAAATCTTCCTTACATTCGACCCAGAGATTAGCGGTATTGATCAAATTTGGCCATTCTGAAGTCCGGTCAGTAACCCCCAAAAATGAATATATTTTTTCACGAGAAAGTTAATGAATAAAGCCCTAAATGAATAGGTAAACAGTTGGTAAAATCAGTAAGATTTTTTATGATTTTTCCTTAGCAGATACACTCCTTGGTTGATAGACTATGAGGTCTATTTAAAATTGCGCAACGTCACCAGCATGCAAAAGTCATTATTTTTGTTAAAACTCAGAGTGGTAGTCTACACAACCTGTATTAAATGGCTGAATTTTATCTAATTAAGTTTAATAAATAATAAAAATGGTGTCCATGACATGCCCGGAGCCACCGAGGGTTCGATGGTAAAATATTCAATGAACAGAACTGAATTCCATGGAAAAACAATGCAGAGGACATTTTCGTTGGTACAATCTTAAAACTTTTTGTTGGTACTAAAATTCTGAATGCAGATGATGGGATGTGTTCAAAATAAAAGATCAATAAAATTCACACTTTGGTTGTCAATAATATTTCATTTTATTCTACACAGTATATACACCATTTCTCCATTCAGTTATGCTGTTTCAATTTTTGATTTGCTCGTCTTTGATTTATGCTTTTTATGAGTGTGTTTGGTTTTTGTGTCCTTCTTAATTTTACCATTGTGAGATTTTTGTGAAGTTGTTGGTTTTTCCTTATGCCGAGCCTGCTTTTCTTTCCTTCTATCATCTGCATCAGGATCCTGAAAATCAAATGAGAAGTGAGAAAGATTTGCATTATTAGGTGGGTGACCATTTTATCACGTGTCTAGGAGATTTTAAAGTCCCCATGTAAAGTTTGAAAATTCATTTACTATTTGTCATGACTTTAAAAGTTATTTTAGAAATTTTTGAAAAAAAAATTTTTTGAAAAAAAAGTTTTGAGCATTTTTTGAAAAAAAAGTTGTGAGCATTTCATTTCTCAAATATTCAAATTTCCCGCCATTTTAAAATAATTTTTAATCATCAAATATTTCTCCATACATTTCAAAAATGATTATCTTTTTAACACCAATGCAAAGATTGAACAAGGGACACACTATTTCAATAATAAAATGCCATATTTAATGAGCCTCTTCAATGTTTTAGCATATAAAAAATATTTTGCAACATTCATGACATTAGTGATGTCATTATGACTCACTCAGGTGGCAAAATCTTTTTGAAATTTTTTCTATGTTAATCTTTTCTAAATATGCTAAACTTCAATAATAAACCAATGTTGATTGTCTAACAATGTTAAAAGGAAGAATAAATTATGTTTTAGATATTATTGTACCTTTGGTTTCTATGAGAACTAAAATCTTGAAATGCATTTTTCTCTGAACATGATTTTCATCCAAATTTTCATGCAGTGATGAATTCATTTCTCGCTTATTTGTGAGCCGGGTTTCTTAATTTTTCGGCAAAAACATGCGAGGATGAATGGTATGCAGTATGAATTGTGGCTTATCAAAAGATATGTGTGATCTCTAAAAGTTAGTTTTAAATAAATTCATGATTTTTTGAACAAAAAGTCAAAGTTCAAAAACTACTTTTTGAAATTAAAAAAAAAGTTTCACATATCACACTTTAATAACATTGGGTAAGAGTTAGTTCATTGCCAATTTGCCATGCTTGGATATTTTGTGCATCTATCACAGTAAATGTTCTTAGTGTAGTGCAAAATTGTACAATCATGATAGTGCATGTAAAACCAGCAACATTGATACCACACACCAAATACCACTCATTAATTGTACTTTCGTGTAGAGGTAAACAAATTGAATATAGTCTTCTATACCTTTCCCTCCAGAATCAACTTTTTCCTCTTGTTGATAGATTTCGCCTCACCAAAGTCTTTCTCATCAAGTTTCTGAAACAGTAATTTTAATGTTTTTAGTTACATTAAGGGTAGGCTTAGAGGATAGAGTTCTATAGTGAACATTTTCACATCTATCTTAATCGTTCTCCCAACATGGCTTCCTGACTTTTTTATGTTATTGCAAGTATGAATTTAGGATTTCTTGTAATAAGTGATTCAAGGGTCACGACATTTTCCACCTTGTTTCTTCATTGATCAGTTTGCAAATACATGTACTGTCTAATCATTTGCTGGCGAGTACCAGCACTCAATTTGAATTGTCACTTTAAGCAGATTTGAATGCATCTAAAAAGATCACCTTTGTCTCAGTTTAGGCCACATATATAATATGATAGCATTTAACTTACAATTTCTGCTTCTCGTTTCGCAACATTCACTTCAGTGAGAATTTTTGTCACCTCTTCCTCTACAACAGGATAGTCAGCCATCTTTGTATCTAGAAGTAAAAATAACAAGACACAAGGTGAGCCTATATTGCCCAATTTACCCCATTTAGGAGATCAGATACCAAAGATGTAAACATGTTAAGAATTTATTCAGCATGCCCTGAAAACTGATCAATTCTAAGTTTACTTTCTTAGAAACATCCTTGAAGATTTGAATTAGATTCCTGACTGGAAAGACAAAGGATGTGTCCGGGTATATGCCCTTTTGGTCCCTCAGTCAAATGTATGTGAAATATGGTTTTTATTACTGTCCTAGTTATATTTGATAAGTATATTTACTTTTTTACGAGTTTTGATGCATAATTAACCCCCTGCTGAGAGTTAGAATAAGTATCTTAACAAACAAAAAATTGTCATTATCATAGAAAAAACACAAATGGCAACATGTATGACATAAAAAGAAGAAATAACTTAAGACCCATGAAGAATTAAAAAGAAAATCATATTTTTGAAATATATTTAAGGATTAAAATTTTTTTTCAAATTTTTGAATTTCCCGCCAGTTTAATTTGAAGGGGGAAAATAAGATGGTTGCCATTTGATGTAAGAAATATCAGAAAAAAAGTTGCTTCACTTTTAGTTTTCACAATGAGCACAGTTTTCCGGTTTAGGTTTTTTGACTGATTCCGACTCTTCATCACCATGGTCATGTATAGAGATTATAAAATTGAAACCAAAATGTTGTGCTCAGCATGAATTTGACTGAAATATGTGTAACATCACCAACACAATTGAAGTCTCAAAACTGGATGCTCAGTAACTTTGAGTGACTATAATCCCTTGATTACCCAGATAAACACCAATTCACTTATCCAGAAATACCATTCAATGTCTATACAAAGAAAGTAACCAATGTTTTGGAAGATATGTTTCAAACTTTTTGCATAAATAATTCATTTAATATTTGCCATTGATTTTTTTTCAATTCTGACAAAGTGATATGCACTGTCTTTGATGCCAATATTCTTCATCAATGTGATACAAATTGATATTTTTGTAATTTCAGAAGAAGGATAAGATATTGACGTTTAATAATATGTGTGAGTGAGTTGGTTTTTCAGACATTACAATTTTCAATATTTTCTAAGTCGATACCCAGACTCATTCCCAGACTCATCCTTTTGCAGGCAAGATTTTAAGACATAAAATCCAAAAAATGCAATGTCAGTAAATAATCTCAATCCAATTTCTTATCAATCTATCAAACATTTCAGCGAGAATTTAGGACATAAAAAGCCAACTAAAATCTCAAACAGCGTGCCAAAAACTAGGCAGTCCTTCATACCAAGAAACAACCATGACAATTCCAGATCAATCCATCTAAGGATGTAGACAAAAATGGGATGTCTACCAGCCACCAGCCATCACTAACAAACAAACTGATCACAATAACTAAAACAGCAATAATGAAAACATGTTAATAAGAAATTTTCACCTTTTGCCTTCATTTATTAAAGAATGTATGTGGGTGTATTGCAGAGTGTTATAAAATGCTTTTGCCTCGAATTATCACAAGTCAATTGCATAATTATTTTATGTTATTATCAATAAATCAAAAAATAATTATTTTGTGTATATAGCAAGTATTTCACAAGCACTTCTCCATTTTTCAAGAAGAACTCAAATGAATTTTTCAACAGTCAGTGTTACATCAAACTAAAATTATAAAGCCACTCTGGTAGCTGGCCACCACAAAAGGTAATAATAATTACGCAAAACTCTAAAGTGATAATTAAAAACACATATAAAAAGACACATCTGATGACGACACATTCACTTCTTCAGTTTTACATATTGAGCTCCACCACATAACATAAACATAAATACATGAAGGATACAAGGTTATTCTAACCAAAAAAGAGGATAATTAAAAAATGGAAAACACTACAATGATCTTAATGAATGCTACAGAAACATCAACAGGGGTAAATTCAAGTAATAACACAATCGAAAGAGAATATTTAGTCTACCATCAGATAGGACTTGGTCTGCTTACAGGCCTTGGAATTCTATTTGGCTGCAGTATAAACATATTTGTAATTATTTCTGCGATTTTCGACAAAGAATGCAGACATGAAAATCCTTTCATAATCCTGCTGTCCATGAATGATGCTGTAATCTGTAGCATATTTTTCCCTCTTCAAATGTATTTTTTCATCGTGAATGACTACATGAAACCAACAAATACATTCTGCAGGATCTACTTAATTGCTTTTGAATCTTTGGACAATGCGAATACCTTAGTTTTACTCCTAATTGTTGTGAACCAGTATATATGCATCACCAAACCAAAGGCTCTTTATGACAGACTTTTCAGACGTATGAACATTGTTTTTCTGATTATAGGCATTTACATTTTAGTAATTGTTAAAGCGATACTCATGAATACAAAATTCCTGCAAATTTTCGACAGTTTCTACATGGAGTGTCGCAACATTGGTGATATCAACCCAAGACTAATCAAAGTTATTCTTGGTGTAACTTGCATCGCAATTATTATCTTGCTTTATGTAAGCACCATACAGTATCTAAGAAATTCTTTGAAATCTAAGAAAACAAGACGAAGAGGAAACACTGCCATACACAAAAGGTATTGCCTCCTTGTACTGACTTCAATGTTTACGGAATACACACCAGAGATAATGATAACATTTGTAATAAAATTCAACCCAGTATATTGGTATTTACATCCATGGGTAAACATTTTGGAACTAATATCTTTTGTCACACATGCATACTTTTTTGTTTATAAAGTGAAGTCGTATGTGGTTGCATATAATGCTTTCATGAAGTGTAGATCTCCAAGACAACAAAGGAGAGAGTCGAAACGACAAACTATTATAAGGAATATTCAGAGTGAATACAAAAACAGGACAAATTGTTTTATTAAGGATCTCAAAGGTGAAGAACAGGATGATATTGTTAAAGACATTCAGCCCTTGGAATTAGGGACACTTGAATTAAAGGAAGTCGGAACAAATGACATTACTGCACTAACAAATAATGTCAACAGTGGCACTACTGAACTAACAAAGAATGTCAATAGTGGCACTACTGAACTAACAAAGAATGTCAACAGTGGCACTAATGAACTAACAAAGAATATCAACAGTGGCACTACTGACATAACAAAGAATGCTGACAGTGGCACTAATGAACTTACACAGAAGGCCAACAGTGGCACTACTGAACTAACAAAGAATGTCAACAGTGGCACTAATGAACTAACAAAGAATATCAACAGTGGCACTAATGAACTATCAAAGAATGCCAACAGTGGCACTACTGACATTACAAAGAATGCTGACAGTGGCAATAATGAACTAACAAAGAATATCAACAGTGGCACTAATGAATTCACAAAGAATGCCAACATTGGCACTACTGACATTACAAAGAATGCTGACAGTGGCAATAATGAACTCACAAAGAATATCAACAGTGGCACTAATGAACTATCAAAGAATGCCAACAGTGGCACTACTGACATAACAAAGAATGCTGACAGTGGCAATAATGAAATCACAAAGAATATCAACAGTGGCACTAATGAATTCACAAAGAATGCCAACATTGGCACTACTGACATAACAAAGAATGCTGACAGTGGCAATAATGAACTTACAAAGAATATCAACAGTGGCACTAATGAATTCACAAAGAATGCCAACATTGGCACTACTGACATAACAAAGAATGCTGACAGTGGCAATAATGAACTCACAAAGAATATCAACAGTGGCACTAATGAACTATCAAAGAATGCCAACAGTGGCACTACTGACATTACAAAGAATGCTGACAGTGGCAATAATGAACTCACAAAGAATGTCAATAGTGGCACTACTGAACTAACAAAGAATGTCAATAGTGGCACTACTGAACTAACAAAGAATGTCAACATTGGCAATAATGAACTCACAAAGAATATCAACAGTGGCACTAATGAACTATCAAAGAATGCCAACAGTAGCACTACTGACATTACAAAGAATGCTGACAGTGGCAATAATGAACTCACAAAGAATATCAACAGTGGCAATAATGAACTATCAAAGAATGCCAACAGTGGCACTACTGACATAACAAAGATTGCTGACAGTGGCAATAATGAACTCACAAAGAAACTCAACAGTGGCACTAATGAATTCACAAAGAATGCCAACAGTGGCACTACTGACATTACAAAGAATGCTGACAGTGGCAATAATGAACTCACAAAGAATGTCAATAGTGGCACTACTGAATTCACAAAGAATGCCAACATTGGCACTACTGACATAACAAAGAATGCTGACAGTGGAAATAATGAACTCACAAAGAATATCAACAGTGGCACTAATGAACTATCAAAGAATGCCAACAGTGGCACTACTGACATTACAAAGAATGCTGACAGTGGCAATAATGAACTCACAAAGAATATCAACAGTGGCAATAATGAACTATCAAAGAATGCCAACAGTGGCACTACTGACATTACAAAGAATGCTGACAGTGGCACTACTGACATTACAAAGAATGCTGACAGTGGCAATAATGAACTCACAAAGAATGCCAACAGTGGCACTACTGACATTACAAAGAATGCTGACAGTGGCAATAATGAACTCACAAAGAATATCAACAGTGGCACTAATGAACTATCAAAGAATGCCAACAGTGGCACTACTGACATTACAAAGAATGCTGACAGTGGCAATAATGAACTCACAAAGAATGTCAACAGTGGCAATAATGAACTCACAAAGAATATCAACAGTGGCACTAATGAACTATCAAAGAATGCCAACAGTGGCACTACTGACATTACAAAGAATGCTGATAGTGGCAATAATGAACTCACAAAGAATGTCAACAGTGGCACTAATGAACTCACAAAGTATGCCAACAGTGGCACTACTGACCTAACAAAGAATGCTGACAGTGGCACTACTGACCTTACAAAAAATGTTAAAGTGGCACTTATGAACTAACAAAGTATGCCAACAGTGGCACTACTGACCTAACAAAGAATGCCAACAGTGGCACAAATGAACTATATAAGAATACTGACAGTGGCACTTATTAACTTACAAAAAACTGCAAACAGTGGCTCGACTGACCTAACAAGGGATGCTGACAGTGGAAATACTGAACTAATAAAGAATGCCAACAGTGGCACTAATGAATAGGGGTGAGACGAGTCGAAAAAATCCTATTCGAGTCGAATCCGATTCGAGTCAGAAAATGACGATTCGAGTTTCGAATCCGTTTCGAGTCGCGCGAAGTGCGAACAACATCGCTATTGACCGTTCGTATTTTTAATGCATCAATGGTGGAAAGCCGGAAATATAAACAAACACAATTCGTCGTAAGTTTATTCTGATTTTATTACATATATTCTTTCAATATCGAGTAAAAACATGCATATTGACAGTATTTTTCTGAATTTTTTTATTTTTTCGAATTTTTTTCTCAACTCGAAAATGATTCGATTCATCAACTTCGACTCGATTCGACTCGACTCGAAGCCCCAAACCCGCGAGTCCTCGACTCATCGGGTTGTCGTCTCACCCCTACTAATGAACTATCAAAGAATGCCAACATTGGCACTACTGACATAACAAAGTATGCTGACAGTGGCACTAATGAACTTACACAGAATGCCAACTAGTGGCACTACTGACATAACAAAGAATGCTGACAGTGGCACTAATGAACTTACACAGAAGGCCAATAGTGGCACTAATGAACTTACAAAGAATGCCAACTAGTGGCACTAATGAACTTACACAGGAGGCCAACAGTGGCACTAATGAACCAACAGTGACACTCATTAAAGCAGGTAAGGAACATTAAGACAGATCTGCCAGGAGATTACAGTTTGCATGTTTTCATAAAATAACTTAACTTTTATTTCATGTATAGATATTGCTGACCATAAAAAAAGATGAAGCTCTTTAATTTGCATGCAACATGATAAAAAACAGAATATTAGATCATTTTGAGTGATATCATTTTTATTGAATAGTTGATATCAAAATCAACATGAGCGGACGAAGCGAATGAGAGTTGATCTTTGATATCTACGAAATGATATCACAAAAATGATCTGAGATTGGTTTTATCTTATACTCAATGGATATGTGACAGATAAATGATATCAACCACATGTGAGGCTAATAAACAATTTCACAGACACACATATCTCTATTATATGAGAAACATCACTGGCTGTTATTGTACAGATAACACAATAATTGTGGGATAAAAAGTTGAAAAAGTATAAACACTAGAAAACTAACCCTTCAATCTTCAATTGGTGGCTAAATATATATTCTAGGTCAATTTACATCATTAACGTAATTCATTCCCCCTATGTTATTGAAAACTGACAGCATACTCACTTATATGTGTTTCAATTGCATGAACCAGTTTGACATCAAATTGAGTGACAAGTGTTAGAGCCATTCCACCTCTGCCAGCTCTAGCAGTTCGTCCAACTCTATGCACATAATTCTTTGGCACATTGGGGACATTGTGGTTCACCACAAGATCCACTGTTGGGATATCTAGACCCCTGGAAGGAAAGATGTATTGAAATTAAAAAGTAGTAACTCCTGCAGTAGCAAATCCTGCTGAATAAAACATATTATATCACATTTGCATACTCTTTTGAACATTCATGACTTGATAATTTACAGATCCCATGCCCCAAAGACTTCATATGATCATATGAAATTTAAGGACTAGATCCAACAACTGGCAGTTGAATTTTTAGGAATTTCATCCACTAAAAGGTGGCCATTTTGAATTTAGCGGCCCATATGAACATTCCTTCTAGAGCAGTATCCTATGCCCATAAGCCATCAGTATATTACTGACAACTGGTGCATAGTTATCTAAGATTAAATTTTAAGAAATCGTGGGCATTTTAAATTAAGCAGCCATATTATTAGAATTGGTGATAACCAATATTCAAGTCATCCAAAATAACATTTCTTCATGATAAATGGTGGCCATTTTTAATTCAGTGGCCATTTTGAAAATGAATTCTTTATCAGAGGCCCTTATTCTCCAAGGCATCAACACATAGGATGTTCCCAAATCACCTACTGACAAATTTGAAAAAATTAATGTGAAAATTCCAAACACTTTAGGCCATGCTGTTTTACTGAATATTTGGTAAATCGATGTATTTGGATAAGAAAATAAAATCCATGTTTTTGTTATTATTGATACTGTTATAAAGTAGAGGATTTAGAAAATGTACTATATTATCGTATGATCTGTAAAATGAAGCCTTCTGATTGGTCAGTTCTTGTGTTGTACCAATCTGTATTGCTACTGAGATTGCCCCCATTGATCATCTCCATCGCAAAACAGAAAATTTTGGCACGGAGGGGATATTCTCAGTAGCAATCAAAACTTTATAGAATGATTTGAAATGCAATACAGGGTATGTTCTGCTCTCGATATTCTGTATTGGCACTCGACTTCGTCTCGTTCCAATACAGAATTTCTCGAGCAGAATATATCCTGTATTGCACTTCAAATCATTCAATAACTTATAATATTGTTTGTAAAAAGGTTGTATTGTAACAAGTACATGTATTTGCAATATTATAAAATACATTATGTATTGGTAAATGAATATTTTGAGAATATACTAAGTGTCTATACCTAAAATAGTTTGTTCTCTTTTAATCAGTTGTATTTCTGAAATTCATCATGGCTGTGTATTTGAAATACAGTACATTTTTAATTATGTGTTTTGACATCACATATAAGAATGTAGAAAAATACTTGACCATACCTACTGGCAACATCAGTGGCTATTAGAACACGTGCTTGGTGCGACTTAAATCTTGCCAATGAAGAGAGGCGGAGTTTCTGTGCAATCTGGGAATGAATGACAACAGCAGGTATACCAACCTCTCTAAACACCATTCCTAGGATCTGAACATACCTATAAGACATGCATACAATATATATGACAAGAAATTCGAATATGACGAAGTTTTACAATTCTGGAAATTTTTCTGGGACATATTTTCGAACTGGAAATATACCAAAATAATTACTTTTGGGAAATGTAACAAGTTGTAACGTGTTTTGAATGTGAAGTTTGAAGCCCTTTAACCCCAACCCTTAGGTTTAGATCGATGCATCCTTAATCAATGACATTGTACCATCGGTAAATGCACTTCATCAGTCACAAAGTAGGAAAATCGTGGGTGTTTACCTTCATACACATCACCCTGGGGGACTTAAACTGTACTAATCTCAAGTTTTATTTATCCAAAAACAGTACACAGAAGAATATTATGCAGCATATTAATATTTCTTATCTACTCCTACAACTACCTTTACTCAATTAACAGTTTTTTGTATTTTAAGAAAATTTCTAGAGTAAACACAGGCCTGTCAACTTGGGAACACCTAACATGAGTGACTTGGGGGGGGGGTAGGTACGAATAATTTCGAACTGAATGCGTGACATATCCGTAATTCGCGTGAAAAGTCCGAACGAAATGCGTACGTTTTTTCCCGTCGTTCGTATTTTTGCTGTGTAGACGATCTTTTTTAGAAAATTTTCTACAGAAATATTTTTGCTTGACAATTACCAGGTAAAATGCGTATTTGCGTGACATTTTCTGTCACGCAAAAATAACTGGCGTGACTTCAAATTCTTCAGCAAATGCGTGACAAATACACGAATTGCGGGACAGTTGACAGGCCTGTAAACAGGCAGTCATGTCAAAGACCCAGCCCACACCCACATGCATTATATTATTAACGTGAGTCTTGCTCCATAAAAAATGAGGCAGGGGAAGTCTCAAAGATATTTTTTATGTTTCAACTGTAAATGTGAGCAACAGACTTAACACTTCATGGAAATAAAATTTATCACAAGCATTATGGGTTGATCTCATATGTAAAGATGAGAAAGAAAGAAAAGCATGGAAAGCAAAAAGTATAATATTACTAGCCTTGCCAAAGTCGTTATTTTTTTACTTAGCTGATCTTGAATTATTACCGCCTTGTACAATCCAATACATCCCCACTGTTATTATGCTGAAATATTCAACGGTTTCAAGATTTCCATAATACGTACGCTATCAGGGGTATCGCGAAACCTTATTGATTGATAGATATCGCGTGGACTCGACATGTGACTTCAGGCTGAATGACCAATCAAAACGTTATCAGGTTGAGCTGCATAAACAAAACAAACTTCCCATCTACGACTTGAAATTCAATGATCTAATCGGGTGTTTCTTTAGAGTTACAATATATTATGTAATTAAATGTACATTGGAAGGTAAGAGTCATTAATATAAATTAAATCATGCGACTTAATGTTGATTTAAAACTGATTTCGCGATGAAAATGCAGACCTAGTCCAATGTAGCGGGTCATGTTGTCGTCGATCGGTGATTGAATCTCAGCCTACATGTTCAGCGATCGTTTCAACGTTTATTGTTGAAATCTTCTCACCTTTTGTGATCCGATTGATGCCCCAGCATCCACTAAACTTTCATTGATATTTATCTAATAAAATATTCGTATTTTCATGATGAATTCAGCTCAGATTCGTGCAACTGAGATTTGTTCGTGAAAAGTCCCGGTGAAAAGTGTACTTGTTTTTGACCGTGCATAATAATGAGCTAACGCTACAGGCCGTCGTTGGCTGGTCAAATTTTACCGACATCAACAAACTGTCGGTAAAGCATGTGGCTTTCTCTTTGGTACAAGGTGGTCATAATAGAAATCAAGATAAGTAAAAGAGACCGACTTGGGCAAGGCTAAATATTACTAGTATATGAGGAAACTTAAGCCAAAAACAATGAGGAAAAGAGGAGGAAGGGGCCTTGTGATTATATAGTAGCTGAACATTCAGGGGAAAGGACAGAACAACAATGTTCGATCTTGGTGAGTTACAGCAAAAATCGTAAAATAAAGGGTAAAGGCCGCCATTTTTCAAGATGGCTGCCATGTGCTTATTTAATATCCAAAACAGTACAGTACTTCGTTCGATGGGATAAATATGTTTAAAAGCAACATAGAAGTGACATGAGGAACACTTTTTTCATATAAACATAATGCATTGTAAAATGAAAAATTCTCTTGTACCTGAGACATTTAACTCAATAAGGAAAATACTTCTTACTTGCAAGTACTTGAGAAAATCATGATTGCACTTCTGGTTTTTTTCTCCAAGAAATTTTTCACAATGAGGACTAGGTATGCGTCTTTTACGTCAGCTGGCATGAGGACATATCTCTGGTCAAGCTGATCTACTGTTGCCACCCTGCAAAGTTAAACCATTGATAATGTTCATTGTAAAGAAAAATAGATTCCTTAAAATTGGCACTATTCGGTGTCTTTTGGTGAAAAGAAATTTCTTGAAGATGGCACAATTTTTGTGAAAAATAAGTTTCTTGGGTTGTAAAAACACTATAATAGAATTTGAAATAAAATTTACATCAAAATCAATGTTGAAGAAGACATTAACATGCAAAATGTCACAACCTGCCATTTGTTACAGACACCGAATGCCAACTACTGAAAGGTATCCACAAAAAATGGGAGACTATAACAATTAATATCACTTATGAAAGAAAAATATAAGAAAATATATTGACATGTACTGGTATATTCTCTTATTCCCTTATTATCTAAGACTTACGGTGCAGTACAATGCCATACAAATGGTGTATTCAAAGCTACATCTTGAAGTTCTCTCAATGTCTCTGTAAATGTTGCACTAAACAGCAATGTTTGGCGCTTTTTCGGTAATACAGAAAATATTGTTTCCAGCTGTTCATTGAAGTTATCTTCCAGAAGTCGATCAGCTTCATCGAGGACCTGAAATTCATGTTTTATAGTTAGTTTTATAGTTTAAAGAGAGAATCATATATAGCGAGCAGGCTAAGCAAAAAATTGTTTCAGTTTTAGAATATTTTTGGCTCATGTCATTCCTTGTCATGCCTATTTTCTAAAAATCACAAAAGTGCATACTGTATTCCAGGAAAACTAAAGATTTTTACAATAAAGTATTATTTTTCTATAAGAATGGTTACCACTCATATTTGCTCCTTGAATCATTAATAACTTCACCAATTTATAACATATTGTGAATCTTTTGGGAGATATTGCATTTAATATTGTAAGGAATAGATTGGTAGGTCAATTATACATGTTGCTTGTAATTTTGTCACCCCCTATAGATCAGATTCTGCCTGTTTAAATGAGGTAATGCAAAAATAATGAACATTTGTAGTAACCCAATATTAGCATCAATCAGATGAATAAATGATGGACAGTAAAACCTGTATAAAGTGAACACCTATGGAACCACAAAAAGTATTCACTGTTGGTATGTGTTCACTAAGACAGGTTTTACTGTAATTAAGGAAGATATAAAGTAAGCGAGACAATATGTTATATCATATTATATTAACTAGAAAAACAGCAACTCCACGGAGTAGCAAATCCCACCGAACAAAACATGTTTTGATAAAAAAAATTGAGCCAAATTCATCCACTGGTATTTGAATTATCAAAGATTATGTCTTTATGAAACATGGTTGCCATTTTGAAATTCAGCTGTCATCTTTAGATTTCTTCTTTAGCAGAGAATGTCCGTGCAATGGTATCTGGGTTATCAAAGATTACTTTTTTAATGAAAAATGGCAGCTATTTTGAAATTCAGCTATCGCCTTTGAAATTTCTTCTGAAGCAGATCTCCTTTTTCCCTAAACATCAGCATATAAAATTGGAACCAAATCCATCCACTAGTATTTGAGTTATTATTAATTACGTTTTTTTACTCAAAATGGCGGCCATTTTGAAATTAAGTGGCCATCTTGAAAATTTATTTTTGAGCAGAACTTCTTTGTCTCTAGGCATCAGCATATAGAATTTGAACCAAATCCGTCAACTGGTATTTGAGTTATCAAAGGTTACGTTCTTTTATGAAAAATGGCAGCCATTTTGAAATTTAGCTACCACCTTGAAAATCCCTTCTCGAGCAGAGCTCCTATGTCCCAAGGCATCATAATGTAAAATTTGAACCAAATCCATTCAATGGTAATTGAGTTATCAAAGATAATGTTTTTTTATGAAAAATGGCGGCCATTTTGAAATTTAGCAATGTTATACTCCAGAAAGCCAATATGCGGATGATATTGTGACGATATTCCAAAGATTAAATTGTAGCAAAAATGGCAGCCATTTTGAATTGAGTGGTCATATTAGAAACTCCTTTTGAACAGAGATTTATTGCTCCTATGACATTATTAAATTTGGCACCAAATCTTAATGTATTTAAGTTCATGACAGATTGCAGTCATTTTGAATTATGAAGCCATCTTGAAAATTGCTTTTTGAGCAAGTATCAGCATATAAAATTTGCCAAATCTATCAACTGGTATTTGATGCATCATACTTGAAATGTGACCGGAAGTGAATAAAATGGAGTAAATTTTATGGAAAGAAGGCCAAGTGTTTTGGAGTTTAGAGTGGTTTGTAGGACTATAAACATTCCCTTTGTGGAACGATATTGCATATAAAGTAGTTGTGTATTGAAAGAACTGGAAGTTTTGTTGGAAACATGTCTAAAAAGCCACAGATAGGTCTTCAGAGCAAAATCGGGGGATTCTTTTCCCAAAGTCATGTCCAAAATGGCGGCAAAACTCAAGAAAAGGCAGAACTCGTTGTCGTTGATAACCCTCGTAAGAGAACACGAGTTGGCACTAGTGACACTGATGATATAAACGAAACAGAAGGAGATGATGTATATGAGGACTCGATGACTGAGGTTGAGGACGATGAAAAGGTAACAAGGTCCTGGATAATGGCTACACTGCACAAATCCTTGAGAACAATTACCAATGAAATCAGTGCATCGATAGATAAGGTTGTTGCCGACGTAATTCAACCAACGAAAGATAAAGTGGATGAACTAGAAAACGAGAACATCGAACTCAAGTCAGCCATTTCTAAATTAACAGAAAAAATAGAGTCACTAGAACAGCAGCACTTGATTCTGTTCAGCGAGTGCAACCACAACTTGCAGTATAGTAGAAAAAACACTATTAGAGTGCTAGGAATTCCGGAAAAAACCGTGAAGTACGAAAAGGACAGGAAAAATGAAGACTGCAAATTATCTGTCTGCGAAAATGAGACCATTGTTGAGTGTCTGTCTCAAGATATCTTACATCCTGATAAGGTTGAAGTGGCTCATAGAATAGGGGCATACGATCCAAAGTCTAAATACCCTCGGCCAATCATTATGAAGATGAAATTTAGACAATTTAAAGATAACATAATGAAGGAAAAAAGGGCACTCAAGGGCAGTAAGATTATCATATACGAGGATCTTAGTAACGGAAATCGCCGCCTGCTATATAACCTGAAACAGCATCCTCAAGTGACCCAGGGGTGGAGCTCAAATGGCAAAATCCTTGCCCAACTCCGAAATGGTGAAGTCATCCATGTTGATGTTTGTGATGATATAGATGACGCCGTAAAATCAGGAATGACCAGAGTGACAACCCGTAGAAGAGCAGATAACTCCCGTGGAGACAACACCTCACGAAAGACTATCAACAGAGCTGATGATGTGAGTGATGAAGCAGCTACCACTAGCAAGTAATAACATTGATTCCGTGGTAAATATCACCCTATATATATTTAAAACCAGACATTATTTTTGTATATATAAACTTTTCACCTGTCCTAGGACTACCGTTAGACAGTGAAACGTAAATTTCAACTGGAATACACCAAATGAAATGACACTTTCTCATATGGAAAACACCAGAAATCATTCATAAAAGTGACAACTTTGCTCTGGTATTTCTCCAAACGGACATTACGAATATTACAAACTTTTATAAATAATTATGCATTGGTACCCTTGTGATTGATATGTTTTCAGTAAATAGACCATAATGGACTAGATAATGCATGAAATTACGGTCAAACTACATGCCCACCGTGCAAATCTTTGTTTACATTTAGATCTTTTGTTTACTGCAACTGCGCATGCGCTGAAAGCTGACCTTGCATTACAGCTGGAAATGTTTTTAAATGTGATGTTGAAAACGCAACAAAATTCCATTCCTACTGAATAATAGTCGATGTTTTTGGACTTAATTGAACGCTTTATATGTGATGAATGTTCATGCAATGTAAAGTCTACGTGGATTTAATATATACACTGAAACATACACAAGGTAGGGTAATATTATTCTATTCGCCACTTTTTATGTGGACATACAATGTTTGATTGAATGCAATGCTGCTTGATTTCCAAACTGAAGTTGTAGTACTAGTCTCTTGGACATATGGGCCTTATGATGATTACGGTTCCAAATCAAACAACTACATTGCAAAGGGTCCATTCATCCAAACCTGGTAAACTTCAGTTTTGTTGAGAAAATGTAACATTTTGGAACAAAACAAATGACAGGTGGATTTTATCACCAAATCCAAACCTTGGTGTTTTGAAAGCCCTATAGTCTCAGATATTGTCTTGATCAGATACATATCCTTTTGTGTATTTGTTACATTTTCATATATTCTTATTTACTGACGTATGGCTCCTTGAAAATTAACTTATTTTTTTTTTTGGACAATTCGATACTACTTGCAAATTAAAGTGTTACAAACTATATATACCTATAATACCAGAAATCACACTTTATGATTTTTATTGCACAAAAGTTCTATTATAACTTTAAGTAAAAATTAGTGAGTGCCTTAGATTAGATTTGTTCTTTGCCATTAATGTTTAAAGAAATAAAACCATGGTGCTAATACTAAACTGTACAGTGTATGTGTATTTTGATACACAATGCATTATAGTCTACTTGGCTGCACTGTTAATTCAATTATCTTCAGGAACCTTGGTTCAATACTACTTCAGTTGAAAATTCATAGTTCTTGGTTTCTTTATTAACAAGAAAAATTCTGTTCAAAATTAATTCTGTTTTTTCTTTTCTTTTTGGATGTAGCAACTGTACAGTATAGTTACAGAAAACTTCATTTGGGTCACTCTGACACAGACTTATTTATTTACATGTATGTTTATACTAGCACTGTGTATGCTGGGGCTAATGCAGGTTATACCTATATATTGAACCTTTCCCATTGTACTGAGATGCAACAAATATAAAACTGAATGTTTTGTTTCTCACAAGCCTTTGCTGGAAATACATATCTAATCAAAACTAACTGAGGGGGGGGGGCATTCTGGATACCTCAGATACTATTGTTTGACAATTTGGGGTAGTTTTGAAAAGTAAATTTCGAAATGTCAAATTATGGCAGATACACAGTTTGTCTTAGAAGTTACATGAATTAAATATATATAAATTGTAAATGAAATTGTACTCCAGCACTTGGCTTTCTTTCTCTCTTCCAGGAAGCAAATGTAAATATAATGTTTTATTTTATTTTGGTGATTGGCAAGTTGCCAAAATTATGTTTAGTTTTGATGAATGGCAAGTTGCCAAAACAATGTTTGAAGGTCTATGTTGGGGTGAAACAGGTAACTTTTAGCACAGAAGCAGTAGAAATAGTTCAATATATGTATTACTCTGTCAGTTTTGCAAGTACAGGAATTGGCTAAATGCCAGTAGACTTGAGTTCATACAGGTGCAGTGTAGGATTATTTCATGCAAAGTGCTTTCATATACATGTGCAACATGTACCAAAATTAGAATGGTACAATTTGATGATTTTTAGCATGACTTTGGAAATTAAATTACTTCCTGTGCATTTTATCTTGTCGCTTTTACAAGGAATCGTTTTAATATTCCAACTTGGAATCACCTTCGTGCAATTTTTAACCGCCAATG